TGCTCACGCCTGGGGAGGGCACACGCAGAGGTCTCCTGCTCACGCCTGGGGAGGGCACACGCAGAGGTCTCCTGCTCACGCCTGGGGAGGGCACAAGCAGAGGCCTCCTGCTCACGCCTGGGGAGGGCACACGCAGAGGGAAGAATACAGACGGCTGGCCTTCTCTTTCCATTACTCCAAAAATTAAAGTCTCTGCTCAGGAAGTCAGGAACTTTCAGAATCTTGACAGTAACCTGACTCTAAAATTCCTACTCAAGAGGAAAGTGAGTTATATATTTGAGAATTGCCCAGATTACTCAGTTTGATACTATAATCACATGGTCAGTATCCTTCTCTCTATACGTGTGTGTGCCCGTATCTGTTGCCTTCAAGTCGATTCCGACTCATAGCAACCTTACAGGACAGAGCAGAACTGCCCTATAGGGTTTCCAAGGAGCAGCTGGTGGATCTGAACTCAGATCCTTTGGTTAGCTGCCAAACGCTTACCCACTGCACCACCAGGGCTCCACACTCATCCTCTCTATGTGCACTACATGTATGGTATCTATATGTACAACACAACTATATATTATATGTAAAATTTACACATATATATGCAGAAAAATACTAAGTAAAATTTAAAGACAAATTTAAAGCCATCAAACCTGAATAACCTTAATATTTTAAAATGGATCTTTTATTGATGAAACTGATAAACTAACAATATTGAATATTAATTTTAAGTAAATAAGGGAAAAATGTATCAATTTTATAAAGACTGAATGAAAACTTGGGGAAAAAATTTTATTCATAAGACACTTCATTCTCTAAGCATGACAACTCAGTGAGGTTGAACCAAAATCTGATAATGAAGCAAGAAAGCAAATCTTTCGGAAGGTCAACTTATTTATTCACTAGTGCTAAACATTTTTTTTTAAAAAAAAACAAAAACACACAGAGTTTTCCATAAGGCCCCATTTCAACATGAATATTTAGATGGCATTTTGGATCCCATGGAATCTGTGTCAGCTTAGACCCTCTATCTAAGAGTCATCAAAGTCTGGGTTTTCCTCTTCCCCCAGAGCAGTTGGTAAAGGGCCACAGGTTCCTTTGGGGGAAGGCTGATTATGGTATTTAGACTAACAATGGTTAACAACCATAGAAGAAATGGATGCTAAGGTTTTGACCTTTTTCTTTACCCTGCCAAGGCAAGTGAAAAACATGAGAGAGTGACAAGAACGGGGGAAGAAGATGAATACATCAGCTTTCTTTAGGTGGGGCAGATGGAGTTCATGAGAAAGACAGCAGCAAACTCAACTCACAAAACACACTGAGGGAGATGGTGTGGGCTAAAAACAGGGAGATTAAGTGAAAGGACTATACCTTCAGATACCTTCAGTTG